CGCCAACAACACGTGTCACACAGCCATCTCGGACCCCTGTTCATGGTGGTAGTATTACGGAGAAGAAGAGGGCTTTGTCTACTGGGGGGAGTACGAGTCGCAAGATCCGTAAACTATCTGCATCGGCCTTTGCTACCGCCAAAAAGGGCGATGGTGGTCCACAGATGGGGCAAGCATTGGATATTGTCGCGTATGCGCTAGCTGGTCGCAAGCTCAATAGTAAAAGCAAGGTGTGGGATGATTTCAGCTTGGTGAAGCGTATAAGCGATGATAAGATATTCGATAATATTGCTGTCTGCAATCACTGTTTAATCGTCGTCTCTCATATCGACTCCAACACATCTTCGATGATTCGACACGAGTGTAAGCGAGAAAGCTCCAAACCTGTGAAGTTGACCCAATTTCCGGGCGTTCTTCAGCCAGTATCCCTACCAGAAGAGCATCGCCAGGCCTTAGTCGAGGGTTGTGTGAAATTGTCGGCCGCTATTCCTGGAATTGGGTTCGCCACTCATAGATCCGAGGCTATGATTGACTTCATACAGATGATTATAGATGTAACAGTAAAGGTTGGCAGACCGTGGAGTGCAGCGAAGTCTATCCCATCCGATACGACGATCAGTAGAAGATGCAAGGAAGTAGCGGCTCAGAGAAGGGAGCTGATAAAGCAAAAAATTAGGGCTCAGCGGCCCCCATATCAGGTAGGATAATTCGGCCTTTTGGATGCTCAAACTATTCATGTCCAGGTACACTTCGATGCATGGCTGAATCCATACCAGAATCGTCACCTCCTTGGAATCACGATCAATCTGCACAGTGGTGATCACTCTCGACCAGCGCTCCTGGCTCTGCAAGAGCTACGATCGGAGACTGCAGTTGATGTGTTAGCAACCACAAACGACGTGAGCTTTTCTGCCGTAGTGAATCTTACTTGACGCAGCTCAGGTTTTATCCAAATATAACCTTGATAACAAGAGCATCCTCTTCAGTACCGACTCAGCAAGCAACAACATTGCCGCCTTAAACGAGGGTGGCCTGGCGTCCACTCCTTGTTTCGCCCATCTCATACAACTAGCAATAAAGTGTGCGACCTGCCCAAAACAGGACGAGTCCTCTCGCAAGCTTCACCACCTCTTCCCCGACGAGATGTTAGCAGCGAGAAAAGTTGAGAAGGATAGTACGGCAGTAGCTCTCGTAGCTGCCACCGCAAGGATGGTGTTATACATCAAAAAATCTAGGTTGAATAGTAGAATAAAAGACAAGGGATACAACAAGTAAGGTTAGTATTGGATACTATTGATGCAAAATCTGTACACGTCGTATAGTGCTCATCATTGCAGGTTGAAACCCGTCAACGAAGTCAAGTGGAACTCTCTATACGACATGCTGAAATCTGTCAATGACGCATGGGAGCCGGTGGGATCACTGCTCATGGAGAAAGGGAAAGCCATGTAGTTTAGGGTGTCAGCTTCTATTACGCCTTGGCTCTACCGGCTCAGACAGTGTCGACTGAGCCGACTCGACTCGAGTTTAGAAATCTTTGTTTCCGCTATCTCACATTCGAACAAATGCTTGGTAGGTGTTTTGAAAGAGTTCTGTCCCGGAAAGAAGAGCTGCAGCAGCTTACGTTCCTCATCAAACCTCTCAGGGATGCCACTATCAACATCCAGAGTTACAAAAAACTCGGCGCTACAAAGACAATAATGTAAGCGTGATCTGCATGGATCAGTTACACTGTGATGAGTTTCAGGGAGTTGGAGAGATGTTGGCAACATCTATGCACTGATATTGAGGAAGAGCTACCAATGATTAAGAAGGCTAGAGCAAAGATCCGCCAGGGATTTTTAGATAAAGTACTCACTCGGAGTGAATAGCACCCATTCAACGCTGCTGAGCAACGTTGAATGGGTGCCATTCACTGAGCTTGCTCCGGATTGAACATACGTTCGTAACAAACCTTGACTTCCCATAGGACTCATATTAACAATATTAACTCTATGATACTGATATATCCTACTAGGCTACGAATCGTAACTTAGGGTCTACATTATGTCGACTACATAATATTCATTGTAAATAGTTTATATTAAGCAATTAATGCTACGAATTCTCCGCCCACTCATCTCACTGTGTACTACAAATTTCGTTTACTTTCAATGCTTGCTCGTAGGTTATAGCACGCATAACTCCCGACTGCTTACTCCCTGCCATGCTGCACCCGAAGCTGAGGTTCGAGAGGGTAGACAATCTCAGAGTTGTCCAAGCTTATCGCGAGTCATTCGGCGACCACGGGAAGGTCGAAATCCGTAACATGCTCAGTAGGTCAAGATTAATCCAGCAACTCAATGAGTGGTCTATAATAACCAATGACGAGGGTGAAGAGAGTTCACGTTCTGTAAGACAGCCTTCTGATTCTGGTGAATGTTATGCCGATGTTACCGACTTGACCACGGAGGAGATTGAACTGGAGGACAGCTGTGTGGGCGACTTTTTCGGTGATGAAAAGCTACCCAGGTTCGTGGGAAATGCTGCCTTCGAGGAGCAGTTACAGAAGAGGGTGGAACTCGAGGTTAAGCGCTATCTCACCCTGTCTTGTCATGACGATTCATATGATGGATTTTGGGAGAAAGCTAAGAGTACATTTCCGCTGTTATCAGAAGCAGCTATCTGTGCGCAATTCTTTACTCTCACTACTAGCTCGTGCGAGAGCATTTTTAGTCGTGCACGAGATCAGCTTGGTATGCGTAGAACAGAGCTGAAGCCAAATACTCTTGAATCACTGTTGATAATTCAAACCACCAATGCTTTCGAAAAGAGCTCTATGAGGAGGTGATCAAAATCTGATCATCAGATCACAGTGCTGGGCTCTGCATCTCTGCATCTACAGTTCAAAGGCTTTGCATGGTGAGCAGTCTCTCCGCAATTAATTTATCCATCGGGCGGGTTCGACTTGTGTTAGACCAGAACTAGTACCAAATCAATAAGATCGTTCCTCTGAAATTCGGAGTCCTAGTGCCTCGGAGGCACTGCCTCCGTCGAAACCTTTTCAATTTGAAGTTTCCCATCTCTGAGAGATGATCCCTCGTGCAGAGATTGTATCAGCAAAGAGAGGACTATCCTCAATAATGAGAGCTTATTCGGAAATAGTTGATAACCAATTACGAGGCCAGAAAAGCGCTCTTTATGAGAATTTCTTGGAGAGGAATTCTCCGAGCGAGTCTCGGCGAGTCTCGTCGCTCGTCTCGAGAGAAATATAGGAGACCGTGCTCGCTCGTCGCTCGCGCGCTCGGCGAGCGAGCGCCGAGCCGCACCGAGACTCGTCTCGCACGCAGAGGCCTGGATGTAGCGTACCGTGGAGTGTCTCCAGTGAAGTGGCGTGGCGGATACATCAAAACACCATTGGAAAAGGCGGCAAACCTCAGAGAGAAGCCAGTCCGGCGTATGTAGGAGGTGTTCCCACCTGATACCACAGGATCCCGGAGAGGTATCCTTACCCCGCTTAGAAAGCTCCTCTTTCACAATACCGAGGGGGAAATCGGCGTAGACCTCGCCAGCTTGGCTGTCCCAACCAGAGTTAGAGTGAGAGCAGGCAGTGTCCAGAAAATGCGGGGGAATAGGATCCCCAAGGTAGCGATCTGCTAGGGCTGTAACAGTGCCTTCAACCGTAGGAAATCCCGTGATAGTAGTAGGTGGTGGAGGTCGATCCCTGGTGACCTTGGACAGAAAGTCTGGGCGAGATTCAATGGAGGAGGCGAAGGCGGCGAAGCCCGCCATCTTCTTGTTAACAATCATATCCCGGTAATCCCGACGCTCCTTCTTATAGATTTCAGAGGAGGAGCCGTGCTGCCTCTTGGTCTTGGCAAGTTTAGAGCGTGCAGATCGGAGCTCATGATCCCACCAAGTATTAGTGGAAGACCTGTAGGGTCGGCTGTCACGAGTCGGCGTACTTGTCCTAGCAGCTGCTTGGATAAGAGAAGCAATGCGAGACTCGAGGGTGTCGGGACAACCAGAGGGAGAAAGTGCTTCCCTTGCATAATAGTGGGCTTTCTGATGGTCTAGATAAGTGGTGAAAGAGACCCAGTCGGTCTTGGAGTACGAGGTCACAGAGGTCGTGTGGGGGGCCACGTTCTTCAGTAGTCGGAGGTCCGTCGTCGTTGTAGTAGTCGTGGTCGTCGTCGTTGTAGTAGTCGTGGTCGTCGTCGTTGTAGTAGTCGTGGTCGTCGTCGTTGTAGTAGTCGTGGTCGTCATCGTTGTAGTAGTAGTCGTTGTAGTAGTCGTGGTCGTCGTCGTTGTAGTAGTTGTCGTTGTAGTAGTCGTGGTCGTCGTCGTTGTAGTAGTCGTTGTAGTAGTCGTCGTTGTAGTCGTCGTTGTAGTAGTCGTTGTTGTAGTAGTCGTGGTCGTCGTCGTTGTAGTAGTCGTTGTTGTAGTAGTCGTTGTTGTAGTAGTCGTGGTCGTCGTCGTGGTTGTAGTAGTCGTTGTTGTAGTAGTCGTTGTTGTAGTAGTCGTTGTTGTAGTAGTCGTGTTGT